CTCGAGGTGTAAATGGCATCATTCTTCTACAAAGCGGGATTGGATAGCAGCACTGACTTTATGCGTCGGTGAAGGGCCGCAAATCACAACTGTTTTTGCTAATTAGTTGTATACCAGGATGGCCCAATTTCACGAGTTGTACAGACTCCACATCAATTTGTGACTATTTAATTTTAACGCGAACGTCATCCATGGTGGTGATTCAGTGTAAACACGGTGGCAGTTGCACGTCCCATTCTGTGGCCTATAAAATATCGGTCGAATACAGGTGACTGATTGTACCTACGAATACGTTCGGTCGATGAGCAGTTGGTCGCTTTAATGGCCCATAATTATCCTCCTCCAAATTTTTTTTTTATGATATATTCGTAATATCATATCACAGCTTAGAGCGTGAGATTTCTTGCTGAATAATCACTATTATTTATTCAACACAAATAAACCCTCTGATGTAGAGTAGATGTGTGCAAAAACGTTTGCGTCAGCCGGAATTGGAACCCAAATTTTACTCTTTACGGTGTAAGAAAGAAGAAGATGAGTAGAAAGACTGTAGTGCAAAACGAGCGCAGGTAATGCAACGGTTTAGCACATGCTCCCGGAAAGAGTAAGATCTGGGTTATAATCGCGGCTGACGCAAACGTTTTTGCACACCACTCTACATCATTTGGGTTTATTCAAACATCATAACACCGCAGTCGGCGGTCAAATAAGATGATTTGCGATTGATTATTAAACACAAATACTTAGTAGAAAAAAGTGTCGAAAATGTAACTTGAGGGAAAATTTTGATCTATGTAGGAAACATGCCTCTTTTGAGAGCGTACTCGTCGACGTCGTCATCGAAATCAGATCGCTCACGAGCGATCGCCTGCGTAAGTGGTGGAATCGCAACAGGAACACTTATCGGACCAGGTTAGTTGACGTCTCACAGGAGCCAGTGGCTTCTGTCAGCTAATCTGTTATTGGAACGAATTTATAACTCGGCATAATTCCTTTTTCTTCAAAAAGATACAGAAATACTTGACACATAATATAGTAGTTTTGCCTTAGTTTTCTTTATCAATATTCTGTGTATCTGAAATAGACACTGACAATAGTGGGAAGATTGGGAAGTAGTTTTCTGGCAATAATTCAAGGTAGACAGATCTGGCAAAATGACATTACAAATTCTCTGTCTTAACTTGCTGTACTCATATGTATTTACTCTGCATATAAATATAGTTATAATCATTTCCAAGTCCTTCAATGCATTTTTGTGTTTAGTTGCATCAGACCAAATGACAATTACCAGTTGAAATGAGATAACACATCAGAAGCGGTCGTTACTGCGCCAAGCAAATAACATCATCCTTTAGTCCGGCACCACCCAAGAAATGAAGTCATTAGTAAAGGTGGGTGGCCCACAGATCTCTGGAGGACGCTAAGTAGTCTCGTATTGACAATGCTGGATCATGACGTCTATCGCTGCCATCTATAGTGGGGTACATTGGTCGATATACCTTGCATAGAAATCTTTTTTTTTTTTGATAGATTACCTGGGTGTACGAAAGTTTTTGCCTATACTTCTTATGAGCACTTGTAACCCAATCACCACAGATGTACCCGTAATTGGTATAAGTAGAGGGGCTGCCCTGACAGTTGCTGTAAAATTTCTCACTTTTGGCGAGAGACCATGCTGATGACTAGAGTATAGGGCAAGAGTGGGGAGAATGAAGCGGAGTAGAATTGCTCGTCTCGATTACCTTATATCGCAAGGTATAACACCATTATTGGGAAGTACTCCTCAATTTATGATTCACTTTTGTGCGACCCTTCTCACTGTTTTTCTCCACTTTGCGGACCTCAGCACTTCTAGTAATTGATTCGCTTTTCCAGTGGCGTAGACTGATCTGCAAAACTGTTGTGTCGGACGAATCTCGAACCCACATCTCACTCTGTCCGGGAGCTCGTGCCCTAACCCGCTGTACTACTCACGCTCATTTTATATACCACTCTTTCTACCCTATAACATATCTATCTGTCAGCCGCCAACCGTCAACGACCTGACCGGGGTAGTCGGCTATCGACATTGAACTCAGTCACGCTGACAGATAACAAATAGATGCGTTGTAGCGTATAAAGAGTGGTGTGCAAAATGGGCGTGAGTAGTGCAACGGGCTAAAGCACGCGCACCCGGATAACTGAAATGTGGGCTTGAGTCTCTCCTGACGCAAAAGTTCTGCACATCAATCTACATCACTGTGTATATCTGGAGCCTCATCACCTGTATCACCTGTCGTCCCGTTGATCGTCGAGTGACTCGAGCAGGCGCCATCAACACTTTCAGTCAACCTATCGCGATCGCGTGCAAGAGTAGCTTAGTGGGTACTTCCTCGCTTTGGAAAAACGCTGAGCATCATATCTTTCTTTTATGCCTTTCGTGAAAAAATCGGACCAACGGGTCAGTGGTCTTTCTTTAGAGCGCTTGACGTTCCGAGGAATCCAGTCGATAACGGCTCTCCTCCATCGGTTGCCCTTGAAGCGCATCATGTGTCCGGCCCACCTTATTTTCAATATCTTGGCGTATAGAACGGCGTCTCTAATCTTCGGTCGTTGACGTAGGTCGGAACTTTGAATCCGTTCGCTCATTTGCAAGGTACGGGATGCTTTTAGCACCAACCTTTTCAACTTCGTGTAAAAAAGCGCCAGGTGATCTTACATCCTGCTTAGGTAGCGATCAGGTTTCTGCTGCATGAGTTAGGGCAGGGATAATCGTTCAGTCGAAAAGGTGGTCACGGAGTCGGATGTTCGTACTCTTCACTACATGTTCGATAATCTTGAACTTCCCCAAGCCGCTCGTTTCCCGCTGCTCAACTCTGGAGCAAGGTTGTTCATCATGTTGATCTCACGACCTAGATAGACGTGACTAAAGCATCAAAAAAAGTTCTTTTGCTAAGCGCAAATGGGACATTCGAAACCCATTTGTTCCTTATAAAAATCGTTTTCGTCAGATTTAGTTGAAGAACAGTCTTCCCACAGGCGTCGATTCCGGTCAACATTCGTTCCCTTTGGCCAATGCTTGGTGTTATGGGAACGATATCATCAGCAAAGCGTAGATAGTTTATTTGTCGACCGTCGATTTTCACTCTCATATTGTTCCATTCTACATTGTTCTTGCATGACATTTTGGAGGGTGGCGGTGAATAACTTTAGCAAATTTGTCACTTGTCGACCCCTCTTCTTACGTCAATCGTAATGTTAATATCTCCTATACCACCGCTAAAAGCGATCAGACATAAAGTTTGATTTGATAATTCGCTTTTCGTCCTCTTCTTGAATATAGTAGAATGCAGGCCGAACACGTTTCTTGGGAAGAGGATCAGCTCCGCAGCGTGACGAGCATTACTACCATTTGACCACGGCCTCAATATTTTACTGTAGAAATAACGAGCATCTTCCAAATTGCTCAATATAGTAACAGTGTGACTTCTATAGAGGTTATATCGAACCAAGCAAACAACTGGAAGTCGTGTCACGAACATCACCACAAATTAGGTGTTCTAGCAAACGAGATTATTGATTCCAGATCCCCCATCTGAAGAGGATTCATCTCTGATTAAGATATTATATCTAAAGTACTTCTAAGATATAATATCTAAAGTACTTCCGAGACTATGTTTTTCCATTTCCTTTTTCATGCTACAATAATTTCATGATTGTGCTTTCTAAACACAAAATTCATTTTTATCCTTTTTAACCTTTACCACTTCTCATCCGGCAATTGTTGGTGGCTTATTCTCTTTCGTAATGTTTCTTTTTTCTAACAGGTGCATATATGAGTTGTTCAGCGTTTCAACTTTTATTTACACCACTTGGACCTGATGGCATATATGTGCTACCTATCTATCCGACTCAACATCTATAATTCGCCGGCTGTGTTCTCGTTTCTGCTGAACGTTTTCGGTTTTCTCCTTATTAGATTCGTTTTTGAAGAACGTTATGACGTTCTCGACGTATCTACAACAAAAGTTAGTCATGCATGGTTTTGAAAATTTTGATGCCTATTGGCTGTGCGAGTGGTCACCGGTCTTGTGATAAAGAATCTCAAAAAATATCTTCAGCAGATTGTGTCACACAAGACTGGTGACCGCTCCACATAACTCTAAATAAGACTATGACAGGCTCTGCTGCCGAAACGTTAGCAGTCCAATTTTGACCTATGTTATACTCTAATTTCTAGTGTTTCCACTACATTTTTCGCAGTATTATGATGTTTGATATATGCCTAAGAGAATTGAGTGTTGAACAGGAATGCGACCTCAGACCCTCAGACGGGAGTCAAACCCGCCATTAATTCATGCCGAGGACGCGTGCTTCCACTACACCACTAGTTTTGCTCACCACTCAATTCTCTTAGGTATATCAAAGCATCATAATACTGCGAACAATGCAGTAAAAGGTTGAAATCTTGAGTATCAATTATCACAAAGGCTGTCAGCTCAACTGGGTTTATAAAACGTAATCGAATACCTGATCATTGAAAGATATTGGGTTTCATAATCAGTCGGAAATCATTTTATTTGACCGCCTATTGCAGTTTTATAATGTTTCAATGAACCCAATGATGTAAAGTGGTGTACAAGAACGTTTGCGTTATCAGGGATTTGAACCCAGGTGTTACGCTTTGCGTGAGCATGTGCTAAACCGTTGCGCCACAGACGCTCGTTCTCCACTCCACTCTATATACGCTATAACGCGCTGTCTGCAACAGCCAACCGTTTACGGTGAGGCGCGGCAGTCATTATCGACATTGAACCCACATTTGTTACAGATATTGGGTTATTGAGACATCACGACACCGCAATAGGCAGTCAAATAAAATGATTTCTGATTAATTACTGAAACCTAATATCTGTCAACAAAGTGGGTTCAATGGCGAAAGTGACTGCCCGCCACACCGTTTGACGGTTGGCTGTTGACAGATAACGCGTTGTAGTGTAGAAAGAGTGGAGTCAAAACGAGCGTCGGTGGTACAAAAGTTTAGCACATGCTCCCGGGAAGAGCAAGATCTGGGTTTGAATCCCGGCTGACGCAAATGTTTTTGTGCATCACTCTTCATCACTGAGTTTAGTGAATAAATACTACTATAGAACCTCGTTTCTGCTCATGAAGAAAACAGTGAAATCCTACAGTGCTGAGCATGGTATAAGACCAATTAGGAAATTACTTTTTGTTTCCAGGAACAAAATAAACTGCCATCACCGTGCGTTTTGGCTATTATGGTTTGTATTACAACTCGATTTATCCAGATATTTGCGTCAACTACAATTCAAACGTTAGCGTCACCAAATTTATGTTGCTTCCTTTGTTTCGTTGATGTTTGGGAGATGAAGTACTTTATATCGTAAAGAATCTGCAAGGAAATAAAAACTAATCTTCGAGATTGGTTCTAGAATTTCATTCTGATGTCATCGTTGACTAGGGTTCAAGAAATCTTTTTGAGAATCTCTTTTATGGAAAAGTACTGAAAGCTTCTTAGATCAAACGACATTTGACTAGAAAACTTTGCGAAAACTTCATAAACTTGATTTTTTTTATTAACTGAGATTTGTATGAGTAGAATTTTTACTGTTAAACGAAATGGGAATATGCGTAAAGATGAGACTGGAATGGAAACGTTCTCATCACCTCGATCAATATCATGTAGCCATAAATGGATTTAGAACACTTTCTTGTGAAAGAAAGATTGGAAAAAAATTCATATATCGCTTCACATACATATCAGTCCAAAAGTGTACTTGGTTCCTAGGAAAAATCCTTTTGCAGCGTTGTGGTAGGGAAAATTGTATTGTGTTTCCCACGCATCACCCCTTATGGCGCGCATCTTCACAATTCAAAAATTGTTTTTCCGTTTGGAATAGATTTCCAGATTTCTTGTGAACAAATTGTGAAAAACCTTATTCTCTCGTTCTACAAACTCAGGCTTTACAGCTTCATTTTGCATTGCCAGTCAAACTTGATACCAAGCCTAAGCTTAAGCAGCCTAAGTATAGGCACGAAAACATATAGTCATGTAGAGAAAATCATAGAGTATCAGAGTCACACATTTACAGAAAGTTCTTCCAAAGCGATGAAAAAGACCATAAATTGAATAACAAAAATCACACGCCACATGTCAATTGCAATGCCACGATCGAGCGATCGCCAGCCATGCACACAGCATAGCAGAGATGCAATGCGCGAATAGCTCAAAGCTCAATGTTATTCTCTCTGCTAAGTGCAGTAAAACGGCTTTTTCAGTGAAGAAACATGGTGTGTTTAATTATCGATAGTTACACTATCGGGTAGTCTTTGATATTTAAGGGAAAAGCTTTGTTCTGCAAGAAATGCGCTTGTGAAACACAATTTTATTCTCTCTGCTACAACACAGTAAGAAGGCTCTTAGAACTAGTAAATTCTGAACATCATTAGCATATGCGTCGTCGAATGATCGTTGACAGTCCGAAAGAATAGCTTTGTCCTGTAAAATAAAAGCGCAATACTGTACTACGCGTATGAAACATAATGATGGTTTTAAGCTTACACCGCTGTGAAAAGGCTTTCCAATATGAACAAAACATTTCTGAGTTCTGCGATAATGAGACTTTTGAAAGATCACTGGAAGTTCGACTGAAAGTTTTTTGTCCAGTAAAAAAATTCCTTTTCGAATATCACTGCCCAATAACGGAAAATTGCTTAAAAATCAGTCGATGGCTCTGTTTCCTCAATTAATCTAAATCATTAGGGTTTATAATTTCACAGCAACAAAGATATACTTTGAATTGACTGCATTATTGAGTACTTTTCAGTCTTGGATCACCGTTTTCCATGTTGATGTTTTCATTTAACAAAGAAGAGGCTGTCACATATAACTCTTTGGCTCATCTAGGAGCCGTCGGTTCTGTTGGCGTCATATTGTACTTTGTGTTTACAATATTCAATTTATCCAAGTTGTAAGTCGATCAGTTATGTAATAAAATTACAAGGAAATATTATCCGCCTATCTTATCTTGTCTTAATTTACCTTTTTTACATTTTAGGTTTCCACCCCGATTATTCTCCATTCTTTCGTTATTCTTCTTGAGAGCTTGTTCCTGTTTACATATTCCTGGCCATTTCTACCCAATAAGGTGGAAATCTCTGTCAATGGTGAGTAACTTGCATTTGTTGATTTTAGAACGGGCATTTCTAATGATTCTTCTTGCTATATTATACTTTCGCAGTAGATGTTCTTGTACATCAAGGCGGGACAAAATTCTAATTTCTGTTCTACAAATAATAAGTGTAGGATTTCTGACAAAATAAGATCAATTCATGGAAAGCCGGCAGCTTTCATTTGCAAATAATAAACGTGATTAGTAGTGTAATGGTGTCAATACCCTTTAGTGTGTGCAATGTGGTCAATTTCATATCATGCTTATCTAGGTAATATAAGGAGAAATTCAGTAAATCGGTCACCCGCTATACGACTTTGTTCAAAAAAAAAATACCTTCAACAACCTCTAAAATGCTGCGATTAGAGTCTGATGCATGATACGTCGGCCCACAAAAGTTGACTGAGCAGCATACACATCGTGAAGCGCACATACTAAGATTTCAGGATGAATCAATTGGCCAGAATCCATATCAGCATCATAATCAGCACCATAACGCAAAATGAAAATCTTATACAACAGCCAAAACTCTCTCAGTTCGGAAAGACTTTCAAAGAGCATCGATACGGCATTTATCACTTCTGAGGGACGCCTATAGCAACACAGTCTCTTTTTCAATTTCATGGGATTGTGTGACATCCAGTGGCGAAAACGTGAGGACGTCCCAATTTGCCTATCTGCAAATTCCGCGAAGAACCACAGTCAACCGCCATTTATCATTTTACAAGGCGCTGCAACGAAACAGGAAGAAAACAACGCGGAAAAAGGCAGACAAGGAAAAGCCAGAGGCGGGCCAGACGCGGACCCAATCCCAGAAGCGCCCGCGAGGTATCAACACGGACGGGACAACACAAAAAAAAAGGGGAAAACAAAAAAAAAAAAAAAAGGAAAAAAAAAAAAAAAAAAAAAAAAAAGGGGACAAAAAAAAAAAAAAAAAAAAAAAAAAAAAAAAAAAAAATCTCACCCCGGCTGCACTCCGTGCTTCCTTACCTTGTATCTCCCTCCCGCGAGCCGGAGCGCTTTTACGCCCCGACTCTACCAAAGCCTAAAAAGCACGAAGGTATAAAAATGACTCTTGCCAGACGTAACGGCCTAGACTCCATGCCCCTTAAAACGGAAATAAACAACAGTCAGTGCAGATTGTGTAGGGGATGTTGCGCAGTGAGACAAAAATAAAAAAAAAAAAATCTTACATGGTTGTTGAATACTGTCTAGGAGAGTTGCGCGAACAAGGGTTTTAATATACAATTGAGTGTGATGAAGAGGATTAGGAGAGTAGGGACAGGGAAGAGGATAGAAGGAAACAAAGAAAAAAACTAAGTCAGCTGAGTGCAGAAGAAAAGACGGAAGAGATGGAAATAGAGAAGGAAAAAGAATAAAAAGAAAGAAGACAAGGAGAAAGAAGAAATAGGAGGAAAAAGAGAATAGAGAAAAAGAAGGAGGTGTAATGAGGAAAAGAAGAGAAAGATAGAAAGAATGGGGAGGGAAGTTATTAGCGATGTGAGTAAAACTATTAAAAAGGGGGAGTAGGGAGGAGAAAAAATGGACTGTATATAGAAGAGTGGGTTGAGTGGACACTGTATGTTAGATTAGGATGGAATAAAGAGCGGGGATAAGGGGAACAAGCAAAAAAGACAAAAAACATGGAGTCTGGAAATTAATAGGAGCTCCACGATCTACTCTTTTATATAAGAAAACAAATTTAATTGGGTTGTACATATCCAAATATCAAAAATAAAGTAAGTGATGGGTTGTTGTTGCTTGTGTGATGTATTTTTGGTTCTTTTTATGTTGTGTTTTGCGTTTGGGTTTTTGTGTTTTTCATGTCTCTCTTATTACTTAAAAGAAAAAAAGAGTAAGACAAAAAAAATTGGGGGTGGTTTTTGTTTTTTGGGTGGTTTTTTGTAACCGAGAACGGCTGATGCGGAACAAAATTACTCAGTGTAATTGAATTATGTATAATAAAAGGAGAGGTAAGAATTTAGAAGTGAGTTTGGATATAAAAAAAAGTGGAAAATTCAAGATAGATACTGAGAAAGGACGGGAAAAACAAAACTTTGAGTGTATTAGTAGAGTTGGCACAACATAAACATGGGATAGAGTAAAGTATAAAAAAAAAAAAAAAAAAAAAAAAAAAAAAAAAAAAAAAAAAAAAAAAAACAAAAAAAAAAAAAAAAAAAAGAATAAAAAAAAAAAAAAAAAAAAAAACAAAAAAAAAAAAAAAAAAAAAAAAAAAAAAAAAAAAAAAAAAAAAAAAAAAAATAAAAAAAAAAAAAAAAAAAAAAAGAAAAAAAAAAAAAAAAAAAAAAAAAAAAAAAAAAAAAAAAAAAAAAAAAAAAAGAAACAAAAAAAAAAAAAAAAAAAAAAAAAAAACAAAAAAAAAAAAAAAAAAAAAAAAAAAAAAAAAAAAAAAAAAACAAAAAAAAAAAAAAAAAAAAAAAAAAAAAAAAAAAAAAAAAAAAAAAAAAAAAAAAAAAAAAAACAAAAAAAAAAAAAAAAAAAAAAAAAAAAAAAAAAAAAAAAAAAAAAAAAATAAAAAAAAAAAAAAAAAAAAAAAAAAAAAAAAAACAAAAAAAAAAAAAAAATAAAAAAAAAAAAAAACAAAAAAAAATAAAAAAAAAAAAAAAAGAAAAAAAAAATAAAAAAAAAAAAAAAAAAAAAAAAAAAATAAAAAAAAAAAAAAAAAAAAAAAAAAAAAAAAAATAAAAAAAGAAAAAAAAAAAAAAAAATAAAAAAAAAAAAAAAAAAATAAAAAAAAAAAAAAAAAAAAAAAAAAAAAAAAAAAAAATAAAAAAAAAAAAAAAAAATAAAAAAAAAAAAAAAAAGAAAAAAAAAAAAAAAACAAAAAAAAAAAAAAAAAAACAAAAGAACAAAAAAAAAAAAAAAAATAAAAAAAAAAAA